ATTTACACAACAATCTCAACTTTTGTTACGTGGTAGAAAAGTTAATTAGGTGTTTAATTTAGGTGTTTTGCATATGTTTTGCCGTAGGCTATTCTCTGGTCGGCCTCTCCTCAGTCGGCCTTGTCCGAACATATTGTGTGTTGTTGACGTTTCTGTTGTTGTCTGCTTTCTGCTTTGATCCTATGCTTTGTTATGTAATGAGCGTGATAAATGTGGGCAGTAAAGGAGGTTAAACTCATCATAACTATTATTGCAATGAGTTGAGGGCAGCAAGTCAGATGGACTTACCATTTCAGGGTAATTTAATGTTAGTATTTTTTAAAAAACACGATGAAAACCGAGGACGTTGGAACATTCTATTAAATGCTATTAATTTTATGTTTAACATAATTACAATATACATACTTCATACAAAAATTTTTTAAGATGAGTTATAAAAATTACCATGCGTATACAATCTACACACATTACATTACATTTAATTAATCATAAGCTAATTTGAACTCTCTGAATATATAATAATTCATAAAAGTATTAACAAATTCCAATATGCAAATATATATTTTTGACTTTTTTCCTGTGACTTTTTTTCTTTTTTTTTTCCTGTTTTTTTTTTTCTTTATCCTGTGACTTTTTTCCCTACAATCATTTGGACCTTTGTTAGTCAGCTGGGAATAGCCCCAATAAGGCTATTCCTAACCGGCTGGGAAAAGCCTTGGCCAATAAAATTCTTGCATTGCAGTAAAAATAAATTATATTAATAGGCAAATGGCCTAGGGAGGTCAGGTGTCGCCCGGTGCGGCATATGATGATGTCACCCAGCCTTGGCCGATAAAATTCTTGCATTGCCGTAAAAATTTTTTATTTTGATAGGGTCTTATGTCTTATTTCATTTATTCATTAAATAGCATTAAATCAGTCAATCATATACATTAATCATAAAATTAAATACCTATGCAAGAAAGTGCGAGAATTAGCATACCCTTTATCGCATGCAACACAATCATCTCCTTGACATTTATGCCCTGGACCACAATATTCAGTACAAATTTCTCTTTTGGATGCTTGCGACATTTTCAAAGACTGATTTCTTCAAACCACTTAGTTAACTGCCAGATCTGAAAATAATCATTTCATTCTAAAAATTAAGCTCTAAGGACTAAAAGTAAAAGGTTAACTTTTATGTGGCACAAGAAGATTTTTCCTCACAGGAATTTTAGAGGTTTGCTGTCATTTATCTCAAAGTTTTATGAAGATTTACTCCACTAGGCCCCTATGCCCTATAGGGGCCTAATATAAATAATAATATAGGCTAGAGGCCTAATGAAATTTCCAGATTAGTACCTATGAGTTAAGTTATGAGTACTATTTATTACCATTTTGTAGACTGTTTAGTAAAGTTTAGGGCTAGATTCCACTATTCGAGACCTAGACTTCTAGATCTAGAAGATCTCTAAACGTTTCAATATTTTTTTCCTAGTCGACTCGGCCGCCTAGATCTAGATTCTAGATCTCTAGATCTAAGATTCAGAAATCAGAAAGTCAGATTCTTAGATTTTAGATCTAGACTAGAATCTAGTCTAGAACTAGATCTAGAATCTAGATCTACTCTTTACTCTAGACTTAGATTCTAGAGTAACTAGGCAAGAGTATCAATCTAGACAATATTATTTACTAGAATAGATCTAAAATGTCTCTTGCAATAATAAATCATTAAAAAGCAAGTCAACAAACATGGCACGAAATGTCAGATGTAGGCCTACTTTAAAAACGATGTTGTTATTATCGAAAAATAGTGGCGATCTTAACACAATGTTTTTAGAGTAGTTTCCCTTGATTTCATTCAAGGGTTGACACCACAGATCAAACCAAAACAATAATGTGTTTCATGCGGGTTTAACAAATAGGCCCTACATAGATTCTATATTATTAGCTTTTACATTTTTACGTAAAACAATCTACAAAAATAAAAGGGATTGTGCTACAAAAGCTTTTATATTTCCTAGAGTGTTACTGAATAAACAAAGGTTGAAATGTAAATTGTATAGTATAGAAAGTTTCCGTCTTATATGGCATAGCGTTCCATAGCCTTGGCGATTTGAATGTTGAATTTGGCATCAAAAATAACAAAATCCAAAGTAGATAAAACGTGAAAAGGAGGATGGTAAAGGTTCCCCTTACAGAAAGGCGTATGGAATAGCCATTTTTCTAATAAAGTTCAAGTAGATTTTTGTTGTTTTTGACAGATTTTTTATGTAAGCAGACATTATGATATTAAATATCATAATTAAATAGTATTAGGCCTATAATAAGAACAACTATTAACACATTAGATTTAGTTCCTTTTGTTAGCCGATCTACTCATATCTCTGTATCAATCATTACTTCAAGATTTATTTTCTCTCTTTCTTTATGGACATTGCCGATATTCTGCTGTGACGTTTTCAATGTTGCTGTTGCTAATGTTCTGTTCTATCCCAATTGTTTTGCATCGTTTCAAATGTTTGTTTGGCCTTGTTTTCAGCGGTGCTGTCTACTTGATAATTAACAATGCTGCCTAAATATGTGAAATCTTTTACTTCCTCTAGGTGTATGTTGTTTAGGTTATATTTTGTTTCATAACTTTGGTTTTATTTATGTTAAATTTATGTACAACCAACCCATTTGGCAAAAGAAATTAGTTCATTTAATTTTTCTTGCGTTTCTTTTTTAACAACCAGCTAGTAGAGTTGCTGTCTACAAAATCTAGATCCTCTTGGCAAATGGCGTAGCGAGGTCGGGTGTCACCCGGTGTCAACCCCCCCCCCCCCCCGGAAGAAAAGAAAAAAAAAAAAAAAATATATATATATATATATATATATATATATATATATATTCAATATAAACTTGTAAGTATGTGTATACGCATGTATATATGTATTCAAATATCTTGTTTCTGCTGTATGTATTTAATTTTTTTACCCCCTCCCCCACCCCATACATGGATTAACAAATAGCTTATTACGATTCTGAACCAAACCGTTTTCCTCAGGCATATATATTGCAACGTTGAGTTGATGTAACTATTCCCCTCCCCCCCCCCACCCCCCTTGGTGATTGCTTTAAACTGTGTTCAGATAATGCTAACGATTTGTGTCTATATTCAGTTATAAATTCAGCTGGATGTTGCATGTTTTCTTTATAGTTAGCAGGTTTACGTCATGGTGTCACCCCCCACCCCCACCCATCCACCCGAGTCGGGGTTTGTTCACTTTGCTCTTAAAAGACTATTTAATTAACTGTAATTGATCATTTAATTAACTGAAATTATAACTTTTCTCTATATATTTTGCTATTTTTTGCATTGGTTTCACCCCCCTAAAGGGTGTCACCCGTCTAAATGGTGTCACCCGCTGCGTTCCGCAACCCTCCGCCCCCGCCCCTCGCTACGCCATTGCTCTTGGCTAGTTGTTAGTGGTCAATACTTCTTGTTCTGTCTATAGTTTGCGCCATCGGCTAGTCAGTTACAGGCTAAAAAGCAGTGGGACCGGAATACTTACTTGCTTGACTCATGTTTGTACCATACAGAGGCGTAGCGAGGGATGGCGTTCCCTGGCGCCGACTTTAAGGGGCGCCAAAATGGGTTGGAAAAACATATTAAAATCTAATTTTGACTGCAGTTTTGCATTATAAATATAAAAAATATATGGGGGGGGGTGCAAATGGAAAGTTTGAGCGCGCGGGGGGGGGGGGGGGGGGTTGCAAATGGAAAGTTTGAAGGGGGGGGTGCAAATTGAAAATTGAAAAGTTGTTTCCGAGGGGACGCCAAATTTTGAAAGTTCGTCCCCGGGCGCCGGGAAGTTTCGCTACGCCTCTGTTACCATAAATGGGTCCGTGGTATGGCTATCACATATAACTAGACTAGATTGGAATCCTTCAAATAGGATTTTAATGGCATTGATGACTTTCTTTGGAAAATCCAGACGAAATTTCGTTGACAATAATACTTTGACCAAAGGGCTCCTGACAAAAACGACTTTCGAATCAAGATTCCAGGACAAAATTGTCTCGTCAAAATTTACCAACATAATGGTTCCTGGCTTTTTCATGATATCAAAGCTCCTAACAAGATCTGTTATTTTTGACTCCCGATGACTTGTGGTTTTTTTTTGACACGTTTAAATGTAAGAATTTTGTAAGCAGGTTAAATGTGTTATTATTTTTTAAAGTATTTTTGTAACAGTTGTACGTATAGAATGTTAAATTCGACATTTTGACTTTAAATTGGATTCGACTCCCATCCTCACCCCCAGTGTCTATACTACCTGTGGGTTCCATCACAGTCTATGACCAAAACATTATCTGGGGCTTGACTTCTCTCAAAGGCCCCGACTGTATAAGTGTGCGTCATCTGCTGCCTAGGGCCCATATATAAATAGGCCTCTGGTATATCTATGTCTACAGTCTGATTTTTTCAAAAACTATTATCGATAACAACACGGAATTTTTAAAATTTTGATTATATTTAAGGCCAGGCTAAGGCGCCCTATTTAAATCCGTTCACCACAACGTTGGGTTAGGGGTCACTTTAGTTCCACAGCAGATGCTTCATCCAAGTGATGAATCTAATCAGCACTTATATTATGCAGTGGCGTAGCGAGGTCGGGTGTCACCCGGTGCGGCACTTAATGGTGTCTCCCCCCCCCAGAGGCATAGAGACCCTTCCCAGGGACAAACTTTCAAATTTTCGATTTGCACACCCCCCCCCCTCAAACTCTCGATTTGCACCCCCCCCCCCCCTCGAGTTTTTCTCTATATATTTTGCTATTTTTTGCCTTGGTGTCACCCCCCTAAATGGTGTCACCCGGTGCGGTCCGCACCCCCCGCCCCCCTCGCTACGCCCCTGCTTATATGTATGTTAACTTACTATCTGTGACAAATAAAGTAAACCAACACGTTAAAAGTTACCATACAGGTTCTTTTTATTCTATAGATCTCATCTGAATAATGGAAACATAAATCCAACGTAGGTCCTTTCACTTTCTACGCGTCACGGAACAAATGCTTTTAGACAGTTCCACAAGCATTGCGCCTATAGCCCAATCTGCCGAATAAGTAATCACATAATTTGACAAGTAATTAAATAATTCAAATAGAAATACACGAAAAACAAAACCAGTTTTATAAAAAAAAATTATCGTGGCCCAGATCGTCGGTCGAAAAGTAGTTTGATTTTAATTGGTATTCAACATTGATAACAGTTCATTATAATTTAAGATAAACGGCCTTAGTAGTAGCCGTAGGCCTACTTGACTTTTTTTTTTAAATTTCTGAATATCTTCATATTTTTATATCTCACTTAAAACCATATGGAACTATTTCTCACTGTTTAATTAAATAGCCCAAAATAAATAATTAAATTTTTAAGCCTATATTAAATTAATAAAAGTCATACACTGGCATAACACCATCTCAAATTATAAATTATTTGATGGAAAAGGAAGCAGTTTCGAAATTACTTGAAGAAAAGAAGATGGCGATGGATGGGACACGTCCTAAGAAGGAATCCAGAAGACACAGCAGGAAAAAGAAAGTAAGGGAGGGCAAGGGAGAAGTGGAGGCGCACAGCAGGGAAGCAGCTAGCAGAGACAGGACTGTCATGGGGGACTGCCAGGAAAATTGTTGGTGAGGGAGCTTTCTGTGGCGGCCCCATGTGTCTTGGGCACAAAAAGGAAAAAATGATAATAAACTTACTAAATTTTGACTATCACGCGGTCACAGAGGGGGGGGGCGACGCATGTCCCCAGGCGCCGACCTTAGGGGGCGCCAAAATGGGTTGGAAAAATAAATTGAAAGGTTCAGAGGATGTACAAATCGAAAGTTTGAGGGGGGAGTGCAAATCGAAATCTTGAAGGGGGGTGCAAATCGAAAGTTTGAGGGGCTGGGTGGGTGCAAATCGAAAGTTTGTCCCCGGGCGTCGGGAAGGTTCGCTACGCCTCTGCGCGGTCATGGGTACTAACAACATAAGTTTTTAAAAAAAAATTTAATAAAGTAAAACTAGATGCATAAAAGTAGGCCTATAATTTATTACAAAAGTATATATTCATTTATATTTTTTAAAAGTATAAAATTTAAATATAAATTGTGCAGCTGACATATAATTATACAATCATGGCTACTTTTGTTGACGTTACCTATAGTTTGGTCGCCCACTTTCGATGTGACCTTTATGTTCTGTGTATCCTTTGGGAAGCCATAGGACAGAGTGAACAACGCGGAAGTGTAGATGGCCATAAGACATTCACCGGAGGCGTGTTTTTCGCTAAAGCCTGCAGCTACAGCTTCCTGGATGCTCTGTCGATGTTACAAAAGTATTCGGTAACTAAAGTTATGTGGTACAAAAGTATTATGTAACTACAGTTATGTGATGTGTTCGGTAACTACGGTTATGTGAAGTGTTCGGTAACTACAGTTATGTGGTACAAAAGTTTTTGGTAACTACGGTTATGTGGTACAAAAGTAGTATTTGGTAACTACGGTTATGTGGTACAAAAGTATTCGGTAACTACAGTTATGTGAAGTGTTTCGGTAACTAAAGTTATGTGAAGTGTTCGTTAACTGAAGTTATGTGGTACAAAAGTATTCGGTAACTACAGTCATTGGGTACAAAAGTATTCGGTAACTAAAGTTATGTGGTACAAAAGTATTCGTTAACTACTGTTATGTGGTACAAAAGTGTACGGTATCTACAGTTATGTGGTACATCCATCTCATAAAAATTTCTTTTTTAAAATGGCAACCTCTTTCCGAAATAAAATACTTTCTGAACTCGGTCATTGTAATATATTAAGCTGCTTAAACCACAACCCAGAAAACTAATATCTGTCAGCATGAATTGACATTTATCTTTGTTTATCTTTAAATCCTTTTCACCAACTATTTTCAAGACTTTATCAAGTGTTTTAAGATGTTCAGTGTCATTCTTACCAGTTATGTATACATTGTATAATTTTGAAGTGTTCTTAATGGCAAGGTGATTTTAAGATACTATCATTTATTCTCTTGAAAGCTATGTTATTATTTACCAAGGGTAAAGGGATGTAATATATTAAGCTTTATTTGGGGGGGGGGACGACTCATTCTTTTTGTATTAGTCTTATAATGTTTGAGTAGTGTCCCTTGCATGTCAGGTTTCCGTTTCCGATACAGAATAAACAAAGCGTACATAAAATGGCTTCCTCGTCTGTTGTATTATCTGTCTAGAATTATAAGATCTCAATCCACTTTAGTCATCATAATGTATAATTTTGATTAATTTTCATTACAATTTTAGTTACAAGTCTACTTTACCTTTTTACAGAAACGATAGGCGGCATCTTCCAGTTTTACCAGGTCCAGACGATTGCCCTCGCCTGTTGCATTCAAACGTTGGGGAGCGAAGGTGAAAACCTGGGTGGCCAGGAACTGACCATCGCCCACGCTGGGCTGGTACACCGACCCTGCACAAAAGGAATCATTCAAATAAAATATCAGCATCCCACTTCCAGGTACATGGATTTGTTTTCTTATTGTTTTTTTTTATTTTTGGGTGGGGGGGGGGGGGGGGGGCTTGTTTTTGTCTAGATGTGTTTACATTATGTTCTGATCAATTTATGATTAATATTTTAAAATCCCAAAAAAAATTTAGAATACTGGTAGCCCTATATATAGCACTCTATTTAAATGTTATATATATATATATATATATATATATATATATATATATATATATATATATATATATATATATATATATATATATATATATATATATATATATATATATATATATATAAAATATGTTGTAGCTTTGTTATTATGTCTATATTTATAAAAGCAGCTTTGAGTTTTTTCTTTACTGGTATGGCAAAGACGTGTTCCATACATAGCTAGTTAAGTGAGTGTCGTAGAATCTGTTGAACTACATCATGTTGTACTCACCCACGGCACACGGTTTAGGCTCACAGTCCATGCCGGTAGCCGGCCTCAGCAGATTTGACAGGATCTGTTTACACGTGTCAGGGTCCCCCGAGCCTGTCAGAGCCAGCTGGCGTCCGTCCGGTAGTGTGACGTCCTTGGTATCACCTAGGGTGTGGTCAGTAAGTACCAGTGTAAATATGGCACTGAATAACAGCTGATTTTTAAATTATTTTGTTTTTATATAAAAAAATTATTCTAATTCCTAGGTTTAATAACTTTTGTGAATATCGATGCATTTTTATTTAAAATTTCATATTTTTAATGTGTAAATAAAAAACAAAATTAAATTATCTGTATTATCAAAATAACAGCTACGGTGATATGAAGAATGAGCCGGTGTATTATATAAAACAGTGTACAAGCTATACAGGTCTCTCTTTAAAAAAAAACGTGCCAATTATCAAAATAACAACTACGGTGACATGAGCCGGTGTGTTATATAATACAGTGTACAAGCTATACATGTCTCTCTTTAAAAAAAAACGTGACAATTATCAAAATAACAACTACGGTGACATGAGCCGGTGTGTTATATAATACAGTGTACAAGCTATACAGGTCTCTCTTTAAAAAAAAACGTGACAGTTATCAAAATAACAACTACGGTGACATGAGCCGGTGTGTTAAATAATACAGTGTACAAGCTATACAGGTCTCTCTTTAAAAAAAAACGTGACAATTATCAAAATAACAACTACGGTGACATGAGCCGGTGTGTTATATAATACAGTGTACAAGCTATACAGGTCTCTCTTTAAACAAGTAATTAAAAAAAGTCTAGTGACAATTTTAGCGCAATTTCCTTGTGTTATCTAAAAATAGCTCTGTCGTAGCGTAAATCAAGAGCAGGGTTAGTAAAACCATTGGTTAGTTATTAAAACGTTTTTTATTAATTTTTTTTCCGTATTTTACATGTTTTATTTACAATAGAGTAACATGACTAAAAACCATTGCGCGCCCAGCTACCGAACGTGACGTCGCAGCCATTGAACGTGATGGCGCAGCTATTGAACGTGATGACGCGTGTGGTGTGGTTGCATAAAATGCCTACTAATTCGGTCCAAATTTTAATTAATTCAAAAAATTTTTTGTGACCAAACGAAAGGATATTTTTGAAAACTTTCTTCGGCAATATTGTTCTAAATTATGGCAGGAATCTATTGGTACATGTTTCAAGTCGCTAAGTGGTCTGGTTGCCGAGTTATGGGCCAAACACTACATTTTTTCGAGGTTTTTTTTGGCTTTTCCGGGAAATTCATGAAAGAAACCGGGAATTTTTATGGCCTATGTTCATCCTCGTAACTTGCTTAACATAATTGCTTTTGGAACTAGTCCTCGATATTGCTTCGTTGAGGAGGAGATACGACTTAAAGCTGCGGACACACATCCATCCATCCATTCATCCATTCATTCCCAGAAAAGACGAGTTAATAAACGCAATTCTCCAGAATGGAAATTGCGCTAAAAAAACGTGACAGTTATCAAAATAACAACTACGGTGACTTGAGCCGGTGTGTTATATAATACAGTGTACAAGCTATACAGGTCTCTCTTTTAAAAAAACGTGACAATTATCAAAATAACAAGTACGGTGACATGAAGAATGAGTCGGTGTATTATATAATACAGTGTACACGCTTTACGGGTCTTTCTTTTAAAGAAACGTGACAATGTTTATAATAAATGTTTGTATTAATTTTATCGTTGCTTACTAAAAATAAATGTTACAACACATTGCTACTTATTGTACAAGTTCTAAAGTAAAAGAGTGAAAGTAATTTTCAGTCGAGACGTTGAAAAAACTTGAATAATGGTTAGGTTTTTGTTATGGTAAAATTATAAAGTTACCAAGTAAAGTTTGCAAGCGTCTGTACAATGACCTACCTCTGACTAGTTTGTTAGCGTCTGTATAGTTATCTACCTCTGACTAGTTTGTTAGCGTCTGTATAGTTACCTACCTCTGACTAGTTTGTTAGCGTCTGTATAGTGACCTACCTCTGACTAGTTTGTGAACGACAATATAGTGACCTACCTCTGACTAGTTTGTTAGCGTCTGTATAGTGACCTACCTCTGACTAGTTTGTTAGCGTCTGTATAGTGACCTACCTCTGACTAGTTTGTTAGCGTCTGTATAGTGACCTACCTCTGACTAGTTTGTTAACGTCTGTATAGTGACCTACCTCTGACTAGTTTGTGAATGACAATATAGTGGCCTACCTCTGAGTCGACATGGGTCATTGAGTTTGCTGTCCTTGTTAATCTTTGCCAGTTCATTGGCCAGCTGTAGGGTGATGGCGTCGAATCCAAAGTTCAGGTAGCTGTGAACATACAGCCCGTACTCGCGCCCTGCAACGGTCACCTGGTTCATAGAACAAACTAGGTCGACTTATGAGTTGCACGACTGATTGTAGAATGGGTCTTGTAGTTTAATGAATTATTTGATAGTTTTTGTAAAATGGATTAGGTTGACTTATGAGTTGCACGACTGATTTTAGAATGGGTCTTGTAGTTTAATGAATTATTTGATAGTTTTTGTAAAATGGATTAGGTTGACTTATGAGTTGCTCGACTGTTTTTAGAATGGGTCTTGTAGTTTGACGAATTACTTGATGAATCTCATACACTTATGAAGTAGTTAAATACTTTCAAAGACGGAATAGTTCATCATATTTGAAAATTATTAACTACGAGCCGACCCGCGGTGTATCATACGCCGCTATTTAGTTGTTGTTTTTTCTACTTTTCAGTAATTCATAATTTGTGAATTCGACAGTACCAATGCTGCCACTGAAAATATTTGCTTTAAAAACACTAAACCCCCCTTCTCCTCTCCCCCCCCCCCCCACCCCGTGAAAGCAGCCTCCTCTTAGTTACCTCCTCTAAGTTTAAAATCGTTTCAAACTAGATTTTCTGCCCCTAATAGCCGTCACCAAACCCGGCTCTACGAATGTAAACATTTAGCGTGAACTACAGCTCACCAGACCATGTGGGGTGGGGGGGTGGGTTGGGGGGGGGGGGGGGGGTTGGGGGGGGGGTGTGGTAGCGATAGAGAGAAAGAGAGGGGACTGCAAGGCGCGCTTGCAGCTTGTTTTCTAACGTCTCCCGGAAAAGAATTATATATATATAGATGTTCGTGGAGTGAATAAAATGGTTTTATGCATCAATTGCATAGTTTGAAGAATGAATTAAATTGATGTATGAGCTGAATATGTTCGTAGAAAGTTGGTGCAATCAGTGGCCTAGCCAGGATCCTCTCAAGGGGGGGGGGGTTCCAATTTTTACCCGGGGACAAGCTTTCGATTTGCACCCCCCCCCCCCCTCAGACTTTTGATTTGCAACCCCCCCCCCCCTCAAACTTTCGATTTGCACCCCCCCTCAAACTTTCGATTTGCACCCCCCCCTCATACTTTATATATATATATATACCGAGGGGTCTATGGGGAGGGGGTTATGACCCCCCCCCCTAACCCCCCTGCCTACGCCACTGGGTTCAATAGCTGGTGACTTACTGGACTGTAGATATAGTATCAACTAGGACATAGGCCCATTCAAGAACTTAAGAAGCCAACTCAAGTAAATATTAAGGTAAATAAAGTCGTTAAACGATTATGTTGTTAAATTAATTAATAAACCTGGGCATTGATTGAATCAGGTCTACTGATAAAGAAATAAAACATATTATAGTAAACTTGATGAGTTAACTCGTACGAAGCTAATTACTTCATTAAATTTTTTCACCACAAATCTTAACCAGTCACCTTTTTAATGCACTTCAGGAATTGACATAAAATAAATGTGTGAGATGAAACTTCTGAAATAACATTTTAAAATAGTAGGAATTTACTCAAAACTGTGTGGAGGATATCATTCTGAAATCATTATCTTTGTACGTTTTAGGAACCTGCTCAAAGGGTTCGTAGCAGAACGCAGTGTCGAGCAACCTGAGTTGAATAAAGTAGCTGAATTTACATTAAGTAGTTGACCAGCTCACCTTGAACTCCCCTGCATAGAGCGGGTCACGTGGTACGAATGTAATCTGCGTTGAGCCACCGCCCATCTCCAGAACACCAGTGGAATCTAGTTCTGACCTGTCTCCAAAAGTAAACAAACATCACATGACTTAGGCTTATTCGTTTACACGTCTCTTCAATAGCTTTTAACCTACAAAAAGGCTCGGTAAGTTCCCATTAAAACGGATTCACCACAAAATATCAAAGTAACAAGACTGCAATTACTTTACTACACTCTAATTAAAATCCTGTTTTACCATAAGCGTCTATAACTTTATTTTCCGGAGTCTTCTAATCGTGTAGTTGAGCTGTATATATTTTCGTGGGGAGACGTTTTTATCAAAAATCGACCGAATGGAACTTTTTTCTCCTGGGCGCTAGATATTCCTAGACCTGTTTTGTCGTTTACTGCTTTAATTAAAGCTGTTTTATCCCGGGCCGTTTTCAAGGTGCACCCATTTACATTGTATTTTTACTAATCATTTCGACACCCAGTTCAGGCACTTTACAGATAGATAAAAAGCTCTGTCAGATTACACCTCCTGGTCACCCCCAGTGTTTCTTCCAGACTTTTTTCTCCGGGGGGGGGGGCACTTGAAATTTTCGGGGGGGGGGGGGGGGGCGTAGACTTTCTTCGGGGGGGGGGCGGACACTGTTAAAAGTATATATTTTCTATATAAATTATATAAATTTCATTTCGTTCGGGGTAGGGGGCGGTAAAAAAATTTCGGGGGGTGCTTCGCTCCCCCCCCCCCCCGAAGAGATGCCTGGAAGAAACTCAGGTCACCCCACCCAACTGTTTAAAACAACACAGGAAGCAAAATCGCAGATTCTCACAGACATTTTACCGTTAAAATGAAATTAAAATTGAACAAGATAGCTAATTAGAACCAAAGCCATACAAAATGTTGGTATCAAAATGACATTCTACAACTACTGTAACTTAAATCAGCTGTCACCAAGTGATTGTAGTGTCGACCCTTTGTGTTGCATTCAGTGTAATTAATCAGACATAAACGTGTTCAAGCGGGGGAAAATATTAACACAATTATTACTAACATGAAAGGAAATGTATGAACACGCAAAGGATATATACATATGATACATCAATCGGTGTGCTACTCTTAGTCATAGAAGTAACATGCATTAATTGTTAATAATAGTTAAAGCTCAGATTAAATAGAATAAGAGTAGTTTCCCTTAATCTCTAATACTGGGTTTTTAAAGACAAAACAGTCACAGATTTTACCGTTTCTGATCGAAGAAACCGAGGAGGTAGTTCGCAGCTATCCATGCGTAGACACCCTCCTCCTCCCCGGAGAGAATCTCAACGCCAGCGGGTGTGTAGACAAATGGGCTGAAGTCTTTGTCCTGTAGGAGGGACTTGGTGCCTTCCATCAAACGTTTGGCATCATTGGCGGGTAAAAATCTCAGACCTGTTGATTAGGAAAATTAATTGCTATACTAAAGGTACGGGTAAAAATCTCAGACCTGTTGATTAGGAAACTTAATTGTTATACTAAAGGTACGGGTAAAAATCTCAGACCTGTTGATGAGACAAACTAATTGTTATACTAAAGGTAGGGGTAAAAATCTCAGACCTGTTGATCAGGAAAATTAATTGTTATACTAAAGGTACGGGTAAAAATCTCAGACCTGTTAATCAGGAAAATTAATTGTTATACTAAAGGTACGGGTAAAAATCTCAGACATGTTGATAAGGAAAATTAATTGTTATACTAAAGGTACGGGTAAAAATCTCAGACCTGTTGATTAGGAAAATTAATTGTTATACTAAACTTAAGGTACGGGTAAAATCTCAGACCTTTTGATCAGGAAAATTAATTGCTATACTAATGGTAGGAGTAAAATCATTAGGCACACATTCCACCAAGGTCTACCGTATGAAACCTTTTCACCCGGGAGAAAATCTGTTCATAAGACAATTGGTGGTAAACCCTACTCATTGCACAAGTGCAGGTAAACCATACTCATATGACAATACAGGTAAACCCTACCCGTTGCACAAGTAAGCCTTACCCATATGACTGGTGCAGTAAGCCCTAACCATAGGACAGGTGCAGTAAGCCCTAACCATAGGACAGGTGCAGTAAGCCCTAACCATAGGATAGGTGCAGTAAGCCCTAACCATAGGACAGGTGCAGTAAGCCCTAACCATAGGACAGGTGCAGTAAGCCCTAACCATAGGACAGGTGCAGTAAGCCCTAACCATAGGACAGGTGCAGTAAGCCCTAACCATAGAACTGGTGCAGCAAGCCCTAACCATAGGATAAGTGCAGTAAGCCCTAACCATAGGACAGGTGCAGTAAGCCCTAACCATAGGACAGGTGCAGTAAGCCCTAACCATAGGATAGGTGCAGTAAGCCCTAACCATAGGACAGGTGCAGTAAGCCCTAACCATAGGACAGGTACAGTAAGCCCTAACCAATGACAGGTGCAGTAAGCCCTAACCAATGACAGGTGCAGTAAGCCCTAACCATAGGACAGATGCAGTAAGCACTAACCATAGGACAGGTGCAGTAAGCCCTAACCATAGGACAGGTGCAGTAAGCCCTAACCATAGGACAGGTAAGCCCTAACCATAGGACAGGTGCAGTAAGCCCTAACCATAGGACAGGTGCAGTAAGCCCTAACCATAAGACAGGTGCAGTAAGCCCTAACCATAGGACAGGTGCAGTAAGCCCTAACCTTAGGACAGTTGCAGTAAGTCCTAACTATAGGACTAGTAAGCCCTAACCATAGGGCAGGTGTAGTAAGCCCTAACCATAGGACAGGTGCAGTAAGCCCTAACTATAGGACAGGTGTAGTAAGCCCTAACCATAGGACATGTGCAGTAAGCCCTAACCATAGGACAGGTGCAGTAAGCCCTAACCATAGGACAGGTGCAGTAAGCCCTAACCATAGGACAGGTGCAGTAAGCCCTAACCATAGGACAGGTGCAGTAAGCCCTAACCATAGGACAGGTGCAGTAAGCCCTAACCATAGGACAGGTGTAGTAAGCCTTAACCATAGGACAGGTGCAGTAAGCCCTAACCATAGGACAGGTGCAATAAGCCCTAACCATAGGACAGGTGCAGTAAGCCCTAACCATAGGACAGGTGCAGTAAGCCCTAACCATAGGACAGGTGTAGTAAGCCTTAACCATAGGACAGGTGCAGTAAGCCCTAACCATAGGACAGGTGCAGTAAGCCCTAACCATAGGACAGGTGCAGTAAGCCCTAACCATAGGACAGATGCAGTAAGCCCTAACCATAGGACAGGTGCAGTAAGCCCTAACCATAGGACAGGTGCAGTAAGCACTAACGATAGGACAGGTGCAGTAAGCCCTAACCATAGGACAGGTGCAGTAAGCCCTAACCATAGAACTGGTGCAGCAAGCCCTAACCATAGGACAGGTGCCACAAGCCCTAACCATAGGACAGGTGCCACAAGCCCTAACCATAGGACAGGTGCAGTAAGCCCTAACCATAGGACAGGTGCAGTAAGCCCTAACCATAGGACAGGTGCAGTAAGCCCTAACCATAGGACAGGTGTAGTAAGCCTTAACCATAGGACAGGTGCAGTAAGCCCTAACCATAGGACAGGTGCAGTAAGCCCTAACCATAGGACAGGTGCAGTAAGCCCTAACCATAGGACAGATGCAGTAAGCCCTAACCATAGGACAGGTGCAGTAAGCCCTAACCATAGGACAGGTGCAGTAAGCACTAACGATAGGACAGGTGCAGTAAGCCCTAACCATAGGACAGGTGCAGTAAGCCCTAACCATAGAACTGGTGCAGCAAGCCCTAACCATAGGACAGGTGCCACAAGCCCTAACCATAGGACAGGTGCCACAAGCCCTAACCATAGGACAGGTGCAGTAAGCCCTAACCATAGGACAGGTGCAGTAAGCCCTAACCATAGGACAGGTGCAGTAAGCCCTAACCATAGGACAGGTGCCACAAGCCCTAACCATAGGACAGGTGCAGTAAGCCCTAACCATAGGACAGGTGCAGTAAGCCCTACCTGCCGTGGCCATGAGATAGATGGGAGTCTGGGAATGTGACTGTTTTGGCACTTTACTTCTGGCCTCGGTGATGATGTGTTCAATGTACTCTCTCAGCTTCACTTTGTCATGTGCAAACGTGGACAGACCTGGCGAAGATTTGCTGTTGTACATCAGGTGAATCTTGGGTAATGATTGGGGCGTGGTTGGATTTTGCCATCTGAAATAATTTATTTAAATAAATGATACTGAAATATTACAAGGGAAACATTCGAAGAGATAACCAATAGATTAAAATACTTAAGATACCAAAAATTAAGACTTGTTTTGTATTTCTTGATCCTGACCTACCCTCTTGAAGTAGATGCTGTACGTGTATAAAACTTGATATTTAAAGAAATTACTGACTGTTATGAAACGTGTCAGTATGTGATGGTGGTGATGACTGCAGTGAGAGGTTCAAGTAAAACGCCAACACAATTTCAGCTAGGCAACTTTAATGGTTACTACTTTTGGTCTTGTCTAACTAGGAAATAAACTTCAACACCAATAGTGACCAGCCTTAGGGGCCAGCCCTATCACACACTACAAAACACAAAAACACGACTACATCCTCGCAAGCCTGACGTTCAACTGTGTTAATTTATTATTCTGGCCCAAGCTTCACCCTCGGGTTCCTTAACCCCTGCTTGACCCTGGCAGTCCAGCGGGGGAGATGGGCCGGCGCCCTAAACTGCACTTAGCTACGGGGATGTATTGTGACCCAGTTCAGGTGTGGGACGGGAGGGGGTGGGGAGGGGCGGTAACACGCTGTCCCAGTTCAGGTGTGGGTCGGGAGGGGGGTGGGGTACATACCAAATAGCGGGACGAGAGGGGGTGGACTCAGTTATAACACTGACCCTCCCTCTATGAATTGAATTGGTCTTTGTACAAAACTTAATATGTAAAAAATTAGTTTAAAAAAGTAAATACTACTAGATTATTTAGGCTTTACACACACAAACACTTTAATTCATATTTTAACGGAAAACCTGACCATTTGTTCGTTTAAAAACATTGGCGCCAGAAAGCTCGCTAGCTCCATCTTTTTTACAGATTTGTTTTCCCTTTGAAATAGTTCAGTCCCGGGTAAACAAGTGTCATACATTTAAATAATCAACTCGTGAGACAGAAAATAACCTACGTATGTAACGAATGCCTACTATAATCATTGTTTCATGTGTTAAAATAATGGGATGTGTTCTTGAAACAACTGCGTGGTTTGTACCTAAACTGGTACTCTTTTATACCAGTGGGATAAACTTTTTAAGATTAAAAAAATACTTGCCTCGACTTATTTCCAAAAGGGATTTTGTTTATTTTTAATAAAAACAAAATTTCTTATGAAAAGGTGTGACGGTTCTAGTTAAAATACCTATAACTGTTTTAATACATGTACTGGGGAAAACAAAGTATAGCATATCAGCAGTTCGTTGACACCAGGGTAAAATGAGTTAATTAAAGAGCTAATGACGGCTTGTTAGACCTCAGGTTGTCTCATGGCCTCCAGCGACTGGCGACGTCTAAACATAGGCAGTCTAGACTACACAGAGGAGACTAAACAGACATCAAGACTAAACAGACATCAAGACTAAACAGACGTCAAGACTAAACAGACATCAAGACTAAACAGACATCAAGACTAAACAGACATCAAGACTAAACAGACATAAAGTGTAAACAGACATCAAGACTAAACAGAAGACATCAAGACTAAACAGACATCAAGACTAATCAGAAGATATCAAGACTAAACAGACATCAAGACTAAACAGACATCAAGTCTAAACAGGCATCAAGACTAAACAGACATCAAGACTAAACAGAAGATATCAAGACTAAACAGAAGACATCAAGACTAAACAGACATCAAGACTAAACAGACATCAAAACTAAACAGACATCAAGACTAAACAGACATCAAGACTAAACAGACATCAAGACTAAACAGACATCAAGACTAAACAGAAGACATCAAGACTAAACAGACATCAAGACTAAACAGACATTAAGACTAAACAGACATCAAGACTAAACAGACATCAAGACTAAACAGACATCAAGACTAAACAGACGACATCATGACTAAACAGACATCAAGACTAAACAGACATCAAGACTAAACAGACATCAAGACTAAACAGACATCAAGACTAAACAAACGACATGTATACTAAACAAACGACATGAATACTAAACAAACGACATGTATACTAAACAAACGACATGAATACTAAACAAACGACATGTATACTAAACAAACGACATGAATACTAAACAAACAACATGTATACTAAACAAACGACATGAATACTAAACAAACAACATGTATACTAAACAAACGACATGAATACTAAACAAACGACATGAATACTAAACAAACGACAACTTACTTGTAAATTTTTAACTTGGTGCTAGAGCTCCCTGCATCCAAGAGTACCCCATATCGATCTTTGTCTTCCAATGGTGCGGCTAAAGCAAAGACGCTAAGACCTGCGTAGCACAATATCCACCACATTGCTACTCGGAAGGCCATACTTGCTGTGATAGACGGCAATAAATTGTTTAACGTGTGCCAGGACTTTTAAAAAGGCCTAAAACACATGTCACGTGATCAGATCAATCACAACACGTGTTTTATGTCCTATTGTTCAAGTGTTCAATGCCCGCTGATGTTATTTACATAATAGAAAGCAATCAGATGGAATAATTTCTTGTCGAAACACTTTGATCAACTTTTGATCAAGCGGAATACAAAGGATCCTGGGACGATAAACTATTGTCCTCCCTTGCATTATTGTTTAGATTACGTTTGTTTATGTGGATGTGGATGATGATGTAGATATGGATGCAGATGTGAATGTAAATAATTAACATGGATTTACATGCATATATATATATATATATATATATATATATATATATATATATATATATATATATATATATATATATATATATATATATATAATGAAGAAAAGTAGAAACAGTGAGCAAAAGATAATTCAATGTATTTGCTTTACCTTTTAAACTGTTTCTGCAGGAATTGGGTTTTGAAGTCTTTACCCGTTTTTATAAGAACACAGACACACACATTCACACACGTTCATAAACACATACACACTGTATATATCTTTCTATCGCACGCACAAACACGCGCACACACACACACTGGATCGTTAATTAGTCTGCATACAGCTTGGTAATTAACGGCCCACACGAGACAAATTACGTTAATTGGTGGTGTTAGATATTGATACAATTTTATAGTAATGTGTCTGCGCTGCAATCAAATCTCATACTTAGTATGTAGGCTAATGATATGATTTCTATTGTTCGCAGGTTAAAATAATCCCACACAGTAATCATATTTTTTCTTGTTTTCCTTTCAATGTGCCTTTATTTGTATGCATTTCCAATTGGGGAAATGTTTAGGTCTTCTTCAAACGAACCATGACCGAATATTACAAAGTTACGGGCAGAGTTTCTTCCAGGCATCTCTTCGGGGGGACACCGCCCCCCCCCCCGAAGAAAGTGTACCGGAATTTATATAGAAAGTATATACTTTTGACAGTGTCCGACCTTCCCCCCCCCCCCCCCCCCCCCCCGAAAATTTCAAGTGCATCCCCGGAGAAAAAAGTCTGGAAGAAACACTGGTTACGGGTAAGAGAGAAGTAGGCATACCGTGTAATTTTTCCAATATTAAGGAAAATATTATTTTCTTTACGGTACATCTTGAACAAAAAGTGCAATAACAAATTAAGTCATCTCAACATATACAGCAGACTTGTAAAAGTGTATTCTTAATAATGAAAACAGCAGTTTCGTAAAAAAAAATTGCATGTATGGCAGTGACTTCTTTTATGTTTGTCAACGGTTACATGTTTTAAATTTGTCAAAAGATACTTGTTTTATTTTTGTCAACGGTTACTTGTTTAATGTTAATCAATGGTTAAATGTTTTATGTTTGGCAAAGGTTAGGCCTACTTGTGTTTGGCAACTGTTACTTGTTTTAAGTTTGTCAAAGTTTACTTGTTTTAAGTTTGTCAAAGGTTAGGCCTACTTGTGTTTGGCAACTGTTACTTGTTTTAAGTTTGTCAACGATTACTTGTTTTTTGTTTGTTAACGGGTACTTGTTTTAAGTTTGTCAACGGATTACTTGTTTTAAGTTAGTCAACGGTGACTTATTTTAAGTTAGTCAACGGTTACTTGTTTTAAGTTTGTCAAAGGTTAGGCCTACTTGTTTTAAGTTTTTCAACGGTTACTTGTTTTAAGTTAGTCAACGGTGACTTGTTTTATGTAAGTCAACGGTTACTTGTTTTATGTTTGTCGTTTTATGTTAATCAACGGGTACTTTTTCTATGTTTTGAACCTTTTTTAAAGGTTGACGTTAGCGGCTGACGAAGTCTATCGAGGCAGAAATGGGTCAGTGTCAACAAACGGGAACCACGTGCCGCTCGCTCACATGTGCCAGTCACACACACACACCGTTTCCCACCACTCACCACCACACACATGTTCCGCCGCTCACTAGGTCATGCATGTATCCCAAACCTGGTTTAACAATAATGGTCTAGCGTGTGTACGGGCGGGGGTGGGGGGGGGGGGGGGGCTAAAATGATGCATTTAAATAATTGTTTAACTATTGTGGTCTAGACAGACAAATTATGTTACCTTAAATGGTGAGAAGTGTGTGTAGAGGTGGTGGAGGTCGGAGTGAAATCCTGGGTAAAAATAAAAGGTTATTCAGTTTTAACGAGTTTTGAAAATGTATAGTCTTTCTTTTTCTTCTAAACGAGACGACTTTATTTTATACTTGATCGTTGGCTAAAGAAAATATTATCAATTAAACCATTTCAAGAGAATTTACAGATTTTTTTCCCTCTCTTTTTTTGTCAACAATCACAATAATTAGAAAGAAAAAAATCAATACGATAAACGTAGGTAAAAATTGTAGATTTCATCAGTTTAAACTGAATATATTGAAAAGTAAAAATAGGGTAATAGCTGTAATAATAATAACGAGCCGACCTGCGGTGTATCATACGCCGCTATTTAGTCGTTGTTTTTTCTACTTTTCAGTAATTCATAATTTGTGAATTTGACAGTACCAATGCTGCCACTGAAAATATTTGCTTTAAAACACTAACCCCCCCCCCCTCCGCCCTCCCCCCCCCCCCGTGATAGCAGCCTCTCCTTAGTTACCTCCTCTAAGTTTAAAATCGTTTCAAACTAAATTATCTGTCCCTAATAGCCGTCACCAAACCCGGCTCTACCATTGTAAAATGTAAACATTTAGCTTGAACCACAGCTCACCAGACCATGTGAGGTGGGGGGGGGGGGTAGCGATAGAGAGGAAGAGAGGGGACTTGTTTTCTAACGTCTCCCAGAAGAGAATTATATATATAAATAATATGAAAAATCAATTCTTCAAACCAACGTTTATTGTATTTTGAAAAACAAAGATATCAGAAGAATACATAACTAAAACCTACCTTAAATATAGTAAATGTTTATATTAAATCGAACAAAAATAAACTAGAAGCCAATTCAATAAATAAGTTATAAATGTAATTAAAACATTAAAAATAAATTATATTTCTTTTAATAAAAATATATAAATTTTTAAAAATTTCATTTTATATAATATATAAATAAATAAATAAATAAATATATATATATATATATATATATATATATATATATATATATATATATATATATATATATATATATATATATATATATATATATATATATATATATATATATATATATATATATGTAAAGGGATAAAAAGAGAAAGACTATATATATATAATTATTGAGTAATTTAAAACATAAATATTTGTAATTGAACGAATATTAATATTTTGAGTATTTGATCTCACGTTGTTCATGTTATAAATATATTCTATTGATATCAATATTGTTTAATAAATATTTCTGGTTTAAAAACAAAACATATTCAGTTGCTTCATATTAAATTTAAAACATTTGAATTTGTTGATCAAATATCACAGACCATTTATCACAATGTCTAAATGACTTATAGAATGAAAAATATTTAAAAATAACGTAATTGAAATTAAAAGATACTTTATATTAAATCACAGAGTTGCATTAGCTTAAAATATCACAAACCAAGTGTAGTTAAACTTATATAATATATATAATTTCAAAAAAATAGTAAAAAAAAAAACCACTGTTAATAAGTTAATTTTTTAAAACAATTATAAAATACACAATTCGATTTTTCCTCAACCTAAGTAAAATGTCATAATATTTTTCTTCACTATAACCAAATTTTTAAAACAAAATTATAGTGCAATGTCAATTTATCTTTTATATTTTATTATGTAGTTGTATCAAAATAAATGTTTGACTTACAAAACTGAATCCTAATAGCAATGACAAAAACGATAGCGGTATTTAATTTTGTTAAATAAGTCAAACAAAAGCACTTCATTTTACAATGCCATAAAACGTATATTTTTATAAAAACAAAATTTAAATATTTAACATTTTGTTATAAGCTAGGCCTGCTTGACTGATAAGTTGTCATGTTAAAAAGTCAATTTAATTCATCAATACCGGTTTAAATTGGTATATTTTTCATGAATTTAGGCGATAATTTATAATGTGTTTTGACACATTTTTAATAAAAATGAATTTCCTATTAAATAATTGTGTTTAAAAGTAAGATTTTAATTTAAATGACTATCAAAAGCAATAATTAAAAAACTTAATTAACATGTTAAAAATACAAAACGAATAAAATTGCAAAAATATAATGTTATATGTTATAAAAATCCAAAATATAATGAATATTACATCTTGCCTAAATGTGTAAGACAGATCGCTCTTCATGTAAACACAACCGACTAATTGTGTTTATAGTTCTTTACTAGAAAACTAACTAACCCTTATCCCTCCTAATTATTAATTACCTTTTGACGAAAGTGCATGAATACAAATTTCCTTATTTAGAAGAATAATTTTCTAATTTTTTTCAAACTTATATAAATAAAGCTTTTAGTATATCATGTTACTAGTGTAGAAATTATTTTTAAAACAGTGAATTAATATTTTAATAAACAATTTAAATTGGTAGTTTCATTGATTTTTTTTAAATTATGATCAAGTTATTTTCATTTTGCCATTTGTTTTCACACATCTAAGATTTTCGTTAGTGTTCTTTCAGATTACCTCTTAGTAGCACAATAGTGTTCACTGCCTGGGTACGATAAATAAGCCAAAAAAATTGGCTTATCATTCAAACAATCCCCGTTGGATACTGGTATACAGATATTTCCTACATTGTTAGTCACTATAGTCAAACTACGCCCTAAAACATTAGAGATAGCATAAGGTATCAGATCTCCTGCCTCGCTGTTCCAGTGTCCATCTTCCTTTATTTTCTCCACAATGCTTTTGTCTGTAAGAAACTCTCCATAATGGGACTCATACTTCCTTATATGCAGATACACCTGATGGCGGAGCTCCTCTGGGGTTATTTTATCTTTTAAACTAGCCACAGCTGCCCTAAAAATACAGTTCCCATCAGGTTGAAGGTGGATCATTTTTCGTCCAACGGCTTTGAGATTCCTTTTCAACCGTCTGATTGCATTTCTCACGCCATCATCTGAAACTGTTGATAGTTAAATACAATGTAAACAGACTATAATGGCTATGATAATAAAGTATAAACTGAATTGTGATTAATAAGTAGGATAGAGATTGGTAATTCGTACTCGCGCTAATTATTTCGCTTAAGCTGACCGATAGGAAATTACGGAAACACGCTGACAAAAAGGGGTGGAATCAGTCGCACAAGAGAAACTGTTAGATTTGTTTTTTTGTGTTTTGTCAGTTTTCGCTGCCATTTCTAAACTGTCTTTATAGCTGTATCATGCAGCTGAAGATACGTGAAACTATTTTTTTCTAAGGTATAAAAAAATCCGCCCTGCTTCATTATTAAACACAATTTATTTTTATTTTCTTTGTAGGTTTGAACACGTAAGGAAAAATGTATGTGTATTCCTAGTCGGCTGAATCCTACCACGCTAAGGCGGGTCAGAAGTACTAGTGGTACTATTTACCCGAACTGTTTACATTTAGACTCAGTTAACTTTTATACTTGGTCAGTGTGTTAAACATCTGATTCACAAAACCAATTTGCCATATATTTAATTATGGTGACCAGAAAGATGTGCAATGGATTTTTTTCCTTTGTTTGTCTCATTGCGATTTTCATCTCCACTTTGAACTATTAATGACTAAAAGATGAAAATTAGAATAAATTATGTATTATGATGTTTAGGTGAGGAGGTTAGTTAGATTTATTTCCGTCAGTGTTTCAACTAAGATTTGATCTTTGGCAAGGTGCTTCCACGACAATATGCATACAACAAAAAGTTGTTTTTTTAAATTAAATGGTGTTAAGACATTCACTTTATCCAGTGCTACTAGCACTAAAAGATTAAGTGTTACCTTTTTGATTTTGTTCTGATTCTGTATTTATTAAATCAGCAAAAAGTCCCTTCATACTTTTTGATTCTCCTGAATTTTCTGAAACACGAAAAATGTAATTGAATATTTTATATTTCATATATCGTTGAAAATGTTGCTTTGATTTAAAATTAAAATTAAATAACTGAAAATTTAAAAACATCAACGAAATTTTTTTGTGTAGCTTTAATACTGTATGTATTTGTTTTGTTTTTAATTCTCAGATAATTGTTTTGAAAATATCTAAAACCTAAAATTGAAATCGAAGATATTATTTAATTACTTTTTATTTAGGAAGGGAAAATAATTATTTTTCGTGCCAGTCAACTCAGCTTGGATATATTTCATTACGTAAGGCATACAGTTCAGTTATTATTTATAGCAAGAAATAAGAATGGGGGAGGGGTCATTTACTTTGACACCATTTTAGAACCTATCTGACTTTTAGATTGTACATTTTTTCATTAATCTCCTTGCAATTTTTCTCCAGATTTGTGAGTATCGAAATGCAATAAGGGGTCGTTCATAAATGACGTGACACTCGTAGGGGGGAGGGGGGTCCGTATTTTTGTGACGGCGTGTGATGAGGGGGAGGGGGGGTCTGATGGTGGGACGACACACTTTTGCATCATGAAAAAGCAATGTTAGAAAACTAATTTTAGCCTTTATTTTGCGTTTTAGAAAACTGTTTTAATAAATTGTAATAGGAATTGATTAAAATACTCTATTTTGACAGAGTTCAGACAAGATTTTGGAAAAATATCGATGTTTTAAGAAAAAATTAACTGCAATTTTGAGGAGGCTGTAGACTGAGGTGTGACGTCATTTTAGGGGGGGGTCTGGCTTTTTGTGGTTGTGTGACGGAGGGAGGGGGGGTAAAAATCGTCAAAAAAGCGTGACGTCATTTATGGATGATCCCTAACATCCCATAGCATAATTTAAGCTTTATCCGTCCACCGGCAACTCAAACATTGTTTAGAAATGGCATACTATTTGCTAGTAGTACATAATTTTTTTCCAGACTTATACAAACAAGAGAGATCAAAGACTTTTACTTGCTTGCTATTGATATCTTCTGCATCTACTGTATTTCTGCGACATTAATGCCATTCCGGTAGATATTACTTTTTATCATTAAATAGTCAACGACTAAAGTGGGGTGGTGTACTTTTTGTTTTATCGAATGTTTTAGGAGAATAAATATTGTAACTGCACTTTCTGCGCATAAGCTCGTAATAAGTATGTCTTATTTAAAATGCAACCTACAATTACCATATTATATTAGTTAACTACTTTTGTACATTAGCGACAAATTTAGACTAACTTAAAAATCAGTACCAACGAGATAAAGATTCCTTAAAGTCTAACACAACTGCAATGGTATAACATCTGCGCGAGTTTTTAAATTGTTAGGAAACATCATACAAATTATGGATGAAAGAAAAAAAAAAGTATATCCATTGACTACAATTGTGTGTGGGTTATCATATTTCTATATCAATCGTGTCATTGATTCAATTACTAATGATGGCTCAAAGTCTTTACTTTTATCAATTTTTTTACAAGAAATATTACACACATTTACACTACACATATGTATATTTGAAGTAAGCTGTTACCATTTGCATTGTTTCCTTGGTCTTCGCCACTACGATCTTCATCTCCACTTTGAACTTTCAAGAAGAAAAAGACAAGAAAAAATCATAAATCATGTTTTATAATGTGAGTGAGTAGGTTAGTTCACCACATTTGAGTCAGTAACTGAACTATGTTTGATCTTTGGCCAGGTGTTTATACACTCTCTTCCAGCTAATTGTGACTTAAGCAACATCGACGACAATATTAATAAAGTACACATTTTTCTTTTTCAATTCAATGGTAATTCAAAATACAAAGTTTCAAGACAGTTAACATTAAAGGAATACATGGAAATACCTTTTGAATTCGTCTCTACGGCACGATGAATAAGGTTAGAAAGGCTGAATTTGGTAACTATTTCTGTAACACAAATTAATTTAAAGTTGATATTTGATGGTTAATATATCACTGAAAATACTGCTTGCTTTTTGTTTTACAAAAGTAAAATAACATAAATGTCAAATACCACTAGACAAATAAATTTTCTTGGAATTAATTTGTGTATGTAATATATGTAACTTATTAAAAGCTACTTTTTACAAATCAAAATAATTACCATTACTATTATTCTCAGGCTCATTACATCTTTGGCTGTAATATAAAGATGAACATGGGTAATTATTATTACGAAACACAAACATTATAATTTCTAAATGGTAGTAATTTACCAATTGTAAAGTATATAACTACATGTCTAAAGGTAACGTGTAAACAAATAGAGCTTTCAACCAGATTTTTCAGTCCAGATTTTAAGTTAAATTAAAAGAGGATTGATTGGGGATTTTGACAGAAAAAGAAGGTTCTTACTTGTTTTCTTTTTGGGTTGGTCTAAGATAGTCATCCATCACCACCTGCTCTAATCTTTTTAAACAGTTAGCAACTGCTGGTTTAAATTCTATTACTAGTAATGGAGTAATACGATTTTTTAAAAAATATATTTAAAAACCAAAAAGCATGAATATTATTCAACATGATAAATGAAATCATTGCATAAACTATCAATATTAAAGTTCCGAAAAAAATCAGTGGTATAAAATCAACTGAAAACTCCTTAAGGCCTACATTGCGATGTGACGGGTGTAACATCCTTTGTCAGCAGAACGGAAATTTTCAAATTGGGTTGTAATATTTCTATTTCAGTTGTGTAACCAAGGGACACGAATTATTAATAGCCTAACAATGTTCGTTAGCATGACCTAGTTAAGGATAGTTCGTTTTCATACAAACTATGTAACCATGAGAGGATAAGATAAAAATTTTGGTTTATTATTTCAAATACTCTACTATTTTCTAAAACATTCATTAAAAATTACGTCGAATTAGAAAAAAAGGTATGCGAAAACGCATATCAGGTTTTTCTGCTGACATTTGTTAGGGATGATATATTTTTGCAAACTGGATGTAATTATAGCTTCTTTTCTATTTAGGCTTTTGTGGTAAACGTATGCTTTACTCATTCTAGCACTAGACCAGCGGTTCTTAAAACCAAAACAATGTACTGTAACGTTAACAAAAATATGAAATAGTACATATATAAGTAATAAAGTATGTAAATGATATTAATATTGCTAATATTGGCTCAGCTCAGTTAATATTAATTTGCAAGTTGGTGTAATCTGACTCTTTGCAATGTATGATCATTATTTAAGGATTATCTTTTAGCCTAAAACGTAAAGCTTTTACTACAGACGCACATATTCTACATAATAGATCTGTTCATTTAAAGGTTCATTTTAAAACTAATTAAGTTTGACTCATCATTTCCAATGTGCATACTTTTAAATTACATTAAGGCTTTTTCAACTCATTTAGAAAAAGTAAAAGAAAATGTGATTACAGTTATAGCCGTTTTTGTACCCACCAAACAAATTTGTATTTTCTCTCCGCATACAAGTATACATTATGAAAGTTAATGGGAAAAATGGAGGCTGCATAACCAAGCGTTTGGAATACTCTGCTGTCAAACTAAACAACTGGTAGTGCCACACCTTTTCAACGTCTTTTTCAATATCATATATGGTTGAGCTGTTGAATACAAGTTTTAATTATTTTGTACTCTAAACTAATTGTTCTACTCTAATATTTGTTCTAATGATCACTAGTTGTTTTTTTTTAGATTAGGTGTGCTGTGCCAACACTATCATATCATGGGAATCAAAGAGAATAACAATTTGACCAAGGTTTACAGATGTCGCAAAAGCTTACACAAGATTTCATGTTGGGGTTTTTATTACTATGAATGGTGATGCACTACTAAAATATAACTATGTCGGTGTCGTTAATTAATGAAGTAGATCTCAAAAATCTTCTTGAGTGAAAAGCAGAAATTGAAACCGTAGCACACATTGAACTCAAGATAAAAATAACAATCTTAAATTTTAAAAAAGTATTAACTCTTTTTCACATCTTAATTCGAACTGTCAATTCAACTCAATAGATACTAAGCATTGCTTAGTAACTAATTATAATTATTTTTAAGTCAAAAAAGGTTGAACAAAAATATTTCTCAACAAAGAAAACGAGGCAAAAGTTGTGTTATTTGTGTGTGTAAATTAACTCTTGTAATGTTGACTTACTTGAACTTAGCAATGATTAAGTTGAACAGCAGTATGTTGGTTATCATAACATACATTCCCATCAGCACTGGTACATAGTACCTGCCCACATTAGAGGGACAGCGCAGATGTGTGTAGTTAGAATACAGAGCAGAATCATCTGTACAGGCATTGTCATCCTTCGATTCTATTTAAGACAAATTATTTAAAAAAAAGAAATTCAATTAAACAGTACTGTAATACTTAAAACTTGACTTGCATTACATAGCATCAGAAGTAAGCTTAGCCTAGTAATTATTAGTGCAAGTATTATACAATATAAAAAGAAGATATTTTTTATCCTTCGTTTTTAATTGCAAAGTATCTATATATATAATTCTCTTCTGGGAGCCGTTAGAAAACAAGCTGAAAGCGCCTCCTTGCAGTCCCCTCACTTTCTCTCTATCACTATCACTACCACCCCACCCCACCCCCACATTGTCTGGTGAGTTGTGGTCACGCTAAATATTTACAAAGCTAAATGTTTACAAGAGCCGTAGAGTCGGGTTTCTATTAGGGGCAGATAATTTAGTTCGATTTTAAACTTACAGGAGGTAACTAAGAAATAACTAAGAGGAGGCTGCTTTTACGGGGGGTGGGGGTGTAGGGTCGGGGTTAGGGGTAGGGGGGGGGGGTTAGTGTTTTAAAGCAAATATTTTCAGTGGCAGCATTGGTACTGTCGAATTCACAAATTATGAATTACTGAAAAGTAGAAAATAAAACAACTAAATAGCGGCGTATGATACGCTGCGGGTCGGCTCGTTAGAGTTGATTTCTTCCAGCACAATATAGTACTAGGCGCCTGTCGATAACGACTTCAGCCTGCTTTTCTTTCTGGATTTGCTACTGTGGCTGTTTCCACCCAAAAACTTCTTCTTCTTCTTCGTTCTTAATATTAGTGTTGAAGGGGATCGAGATTTATCTGCCAGTGCGTTTGAACTCGAGACTTTGTTCAAATTTATCAACCATGAGCTTTTTGCCGACTCGAACACGCCTCCAACACAATTAAGCGTTACGTGTCAACTGGTTATGCGCCATTGAGGCCATTGACTCCGATTTCAGCCTGCTTTTCTTTTTGGATTTGCTTCCATAGCCTTTGTCCAACCAAGAACAAACTACAAGGCAGCAGTTGATTCATTTTGAATTTTTCTTTTCTAGATAATGTACTGTCCCCAGCTAACGCGTCTTATCTGCTCTGGGCCCGAACTCGGGACTTTTGGAGCTAGCAACCTTCAGCTATCCAGCCATTTGTTCAATTATCAATTGATCAATTATTTACAAGAATACCAATGCCAAGCAGTGTCTATGAATTTGGTTCAACCTCCATCTACCTCATCAATAATTGCACTAATGCATTTTTTCCCCATAATAATTAAATCATTCAGTTTTATGTAGGCTTAACTCATAATATGAAAATTTCGAAATTAAAAAAAAAAACAATTGTAATATATAGCTACACTTTGGCCTAACTGCTAATAGTTATTATTGTAGCTTCAATTTCAGCAATTTGTCCCAATTATATGTATTAATTAGGTTTTTGAGTCATTAACAATATTTATACATTTCATGACTCATAAAATCTTCTAAAATATAAAACAATTCTTTCTAAAACACCATGTGCAATGATTCCAATGACAATTGTAAAATAAGATTTACCTGTTGATTCCATTTCTTCCAGAAAGAAATTACCAAAGACACTCCAATATGATCGTCGTAGCATGTTGAAAATGAGCCCACCACTGATGGGCGAATGGGGATAGAGCACAGTCTCAGAGGCAATGGCAAAAGCGATGAAAAACACCAGCAGTATGACCAAGTATTCCAATAATGTTAATAGCTAAAGAAAGAACAACAATCGAAATATGATAGTTATGTTTTTAAAACCAGGCTTCAGAATTAGCCTACCAAAACACGCAAGATCTTTTTAAAAAAAGAGAAATTTACCATTTTGGAAATCATCAGAAGCATAGGACCTAGAAATTTGCTAAGATAAAAAAATTTGAAAAGAATCAAGCAGAATAAGACATAGTCAATGCTGAAGAAAACCAAGGCTGCCTCCATCATGGCTGTTACATCCCCCATGTTGTAGTAGGCGGAGCATCTCAAAGACCAGGCCACGATGAAGGAGAAAAAAGCTAAAAAATGCAGAGCCTCAAACAGGTTTTTGTGAGTCATAAAGTATATCTTGAAAAAAGTCTGTCGAAGAAAAAAATAAAAGTACTACAATGTTATAGGGGCTACTTTAATGTGGAGCTGACTATCCAAAACAAAAGAAAATCATTCATTAAATATTAATCACTTTAAAAGGATGCATTGTACAAAAGGATAATTTACAAATAGTGCTGAACACCATATTTCTTAAGCTTGTTAACTGCAGCTTGTTACAATTTAATTTTTATATTGATTGGCAGTTAACTGCAGTTAAGGAATCTGATGATAATTACCAATACCATAAAGATTTAGAATAACTTACCTTTATGTAAAGCCAGAGGATTTCCCAAAAGGTTTCCTTCTTTTCGGTGGATTGTTTAATATTCTTCACTCTTCTTTTTGTTGTGTAGCTCACCTACGTATATATATTTGTATAAGTATACATATATATATGTAACTAAATATACATATATATATATATATATATATATATATATATATATATATATATATATATATATATATATATATATATATATATATATATATATATATATATATATATATATATATATTTACATATATATACACATATATATATATATATATATATATATATATATATATATATATATATATATATATATATATATATATATATATATATATATATATATATATATATATATATATATATATATATATATATATATGTCTCAGACAAAATATCTCAGCCAATATACCACACAGTAAAATTTGATTGGCAGTACCATTTGTTTAGTAGTAGAGATACAGGCAGAAGTACTTTTAGATGTGAATTTAGGTTATTAGTTTAGTAAAAATCTGAACTTTACTTTGTGAAATCCATCAAGGCAAAATGTGATTATCCAGGCCCACACAGCCCATTCCAGCCAATGGAAAGACTGCTGCTGAAGCTCGATTACAAGCCAATATGCATAAATTACCAAAAATGCCAGAAATCCAAACTGAAAAGCAATTTTTTAGTATACATTTGATTGAAAAAATAGTCAGATTTATTTATCACATTAGAAAGAACTCTGCCATTGAAGAATTAACATCGATCCTAATGTTAATATAATATGCAGGGCATATAAATTATTCTGTGTAATTTTTAACTTTATTTACAGGGTACACTGAGTCATGCAAAATCTTATAAAACAAACAACTTATTGTAATTATAAAAACAACCAACAGCTTACAAATACTTTGGCTTCGTTTTATTCTGGTTGTCATTGTTTTTAATCTTGTATATCAATATTATATATCAAAATTTTTTTAGATGTTAGAAAACTAAATTTATCAATTATAATGCATCTTATATATATATATATATATATATATATATATATATATATATATATATATATATATATATATATATATATATATATATATATATATATATATATATATTTATTTATTTATTTATTTATATATATATATATATGTATATGTATATATAAATAATAAATGTATGTCTGTCTTTTTTATCTGTCTTTTATGCATTACTACACCTTTCATCAGATAACCATGAAACTTTGGGAAGTTGTTAAGGGGGTATATATACGGTTTGTAAAAAATTAAAGATTGAGGTTTATCACTGTTCATCCGATCGCCATCAAACTTTGGTGAGTTGATTAGAACAGGGGAGGTTTCTGTGCAACGGGCTATCCTATGAGCGCTATGGCATCTACGTTTGTTTTAAACAGTGCGTAAGGCTATGCATACGATAGGGTATAAGAGTCGTTCACTAAACATTATCAGGCGACTTAGTAGGTTTTGCCCGTGAACTCCTCAACTATCCGTTATTGGAGATGGTTTAATTTTCACACCTCTATGAAAATTGCGTGGAATAAAAATTTAAAAACTTTTTTTATCCACATGTTATTACCGTTTAGTTTTTTGTATAATAAAAAAACTGGGGAAATAAACGAATTAAATAATGACGCAGTTATATCCCTTTATTTAGGAATCATTAAGTAAAACTTGTTAAGTTATATTAGTTTTCACACCTATTTGAAATACATTCAGCATACATTTTAAGAAATGTTTCATTTATCTATATGGGAGAAATTAAAATTTTAAATTCCTGACACTGTTACGTCCCTTTAACAATCAAAATTCAGGAGTAAAAGCGTTTAGTAATTAACCACATAATTTGACATTTCTGAAAATCTAGTATGATTCCAGGTGCCTACGGCACCAGAGCTACCCCCTTATCAAATATCAACATTTTGTAGCACCTGCAAGTGGTCGATCTAATTCAAGCACTATAAAAAATATATAGTTTATATAAGACCACGATCTCTCTAGGTCAGTTTTGGGTCACTTTAAACTTGATTATTAAGATGACTCTAAATTTTCCGGTACAAAGAAAATGAACAGCAAAATTTGGCAAGAACAATATCCCTGCATCGTAACCCAAGTACCCGATCTAAAAGGCGTGAGTAACAAACAAACATCGCCCACGATGCTTATATATATTGTAACGTCCCCTATCTATCAGCCAAATAGACGGTGAACGTCCCCGGATTCTTTTTTCGGGGTCATATGCAAATGCCTTACGGCCTAAGTGGATGAACACTAACACAACGGCACACTAGGGCTCGAATTCAATGTCTAGGGTAAACTAGTGATACTATTGTAATTAACACTCATCCAATCTACATACAACTTTAATCAGCGAACACAGTTGTGGCAAAACACAAGGGTGAACTAGTTAAAATATTTAATGTATAAAATATCAAAACACAACTTACAAAATGTAGGAAAAACACTATCACAGATTTCTACACTGTCTAAATATAGCCACAGGCCACACAACACTGCTATAGCTTCTAGAATAACTCAGCGACGAGAAATATTATACTAGAAGCCTAAATCAACTTAAGAAAGCAAGGCACACACAGGACTTAAGTTCTCTCACGTTCAAATGGTCAGAGTCTATAGCCGGACAATATGGACGGCAATGGTCTTAATAGACTGTTGATCAAGGTAGACGGCCTGACCAAGGTAAAATCGCCCTGTAGACTGCCTCGTGTTGCGAGTGTGCGGGGCAATTAAAGACTTCTGCAACAGGGGAGATTATCCTCAACTCATGTAGCCATTGGTTGGGATAGTCATCTGATTAGAATCATTCAATCAGATCTTAATGGAAAATTTCTATATCTTAGACTCCTTAATAAGTCAGTGGAAATTTTCCGGTTGTTGCACAATCACTCCATATAAGGTATTATACAATGTCAACATAAAAATAGAACCTGACTCGACCTAAGTAGGTCACATCCCCTCCCTTTTTGGAAGTGACAGATAGGTTCCACAAAAACATACATAAGGAACCAATCTGGCAATGGAATAAAAAAAATTGTTTTACAAATGTAGGCAATCAAAATCATAATACCAGATGAAAATATCCCTGAACATAAAAGGGAAGTAACTCCAACTTTTACAATTGGTAAAAGGGAAGTAACCCTTCAAAAAGTAATTATACATCAAAATCCCTCAAAAAAGGGTATTACAATTTTTCCATGAGGATATTAAAAGTGGTAAACCCGCCAGGGTAAGACCTTTATTTCAATGACTAGCTACAATATCAATTGAGTCATATGAGACATATTATTTTAAAAGATTACATAGAATCAAAAACCACCTTTAATTAAGGTTCACCTGAAAATAAACAAAATATTCAAGAGAATTGGAATTTTGTAAAAAATCAAAAATCATACCACTCATTCCATGTTAAAACACAACACTTGTGTATGGTCTTAATGAACCACAAAACACGTCACATGATTAATGTGTGCAATAAGATTTTACATCCCTGACAAACAATCAGCCACAACATTATCACTACCCTTAATGTGTGAAATTTCCAGATTAAAATTTTGGAAATATAAGCACCACCTCAATATTCTTTGATTTGTCTGTCCTAACTTAGAGGTAAATTTCAGGGGATCATGGTCAGAAAACACTCTGACTGGATTGGTTGAAGAAGAGACATAGACTTCAAAATGTTGTAATGACAAAACCAAAGCTAAAGCCTCTTTTTCAATAGTAGAATAATTCTTTTGGTTTTCATTTAACTTCCTGGAAAAAAAGGCAATGGGATGGTCAATTCCCATGTTGTCTTCTTGAAATAGGACTGAGCCAATGGCTAAGTTGCTAGCATCAATGGCAAGTTTAAAGGGCTTGCTGAAATTTGGTGCAGCCATAACAGGAGCATTAGATAAAAATGACTTAATGGTTAAAAAAGCTTCTTGACATTTATTTGACCATTCAAACTCAACACCCTTTTTCAATAATGCAGTAAGAGGTTCAGCAATAGCTGAAAAGTTTTGACAGAACCGTCTATAGTAACCAGCCATCCCAAGGAACTTTTTGATCTCTTTACAATTTTTGGGAGGTGGTAACCTTACAATAGCATCTACTTTAGCTTCAATGGGCCGAACTTGGTTCGTTCCCACTTGATAACCCAAATAGGTAATTGAAGCTTTACAGAAATCACTTTTATGTAAGTTTACAGTAAAATTCACTTCAGACAATTTTCTAAAAAGGTTAGTCACCTGAACAATATGTTCTTCAAAAGTATTAGAAAATACAACTATATCATCTATGTAGGCCTCACATTGGTCTATGTCAGCAATGACAGAGTTAATGACTCTCTGGAAAGTTTGACCAGCATTTCGCATACCAAAGGGCATACGTTTGTATCTATAAAAACCATTAGGGGTTACAAAAGCAGATATTTCTTTTGCACGGTCAGATAAGGGGATTTGCCAGTATCCTGAAAGTAAATCAATTTTGGAAATTATCTTAGCCTGACCAACTTTATCAATAACGTCCTCTATCCGAGGTAATGGATAGGAATCAGCTTTGGTGAGCGCATTCACCTTCCTAAAGTCGGTCACAAACCTGAAAGATCCACCGTCTTTCGGTACTAGGAGACATGGGGAACTCCAGTTGCTGAAACTGGGCTCAATGATATCATTCTTGAGCATATAGTCAATTTCATCCTTTATCAAAGCAGCTTTTTCCGGGTTAACTCTATAGGGGTGTTGTTTAATGAGTTTTGCGTCACCTACGTCTACATCATGAGGTGGAACCTTCGCTTCTTTGGGGACATCCCCAAAAATAGAGGGAAATGTCTCAAATAACTGAGACAATCTCTGGTTTTTCTCTGTGGACAAGTGCATAAGGTGGACATTCAAATTATCTAAAAAGGAAGAATTTACCAATTTTGGGGGTTTCAATTTATCATGTATCACATCATCAGAAACATTTGAACATACAGATAAAGTAATTTTAGCTGTGGAATGAAAATTGTTACAATTATCATAATACTTTTTCAGTGAGTTAACATGATACACTGTCTGTTTCTTTCTTCTGTCGGGCGTATTGACCACATAGTTCAAATCACTTAATTTTGAATGCACAGTAAAGGGTCCACAATATCTCAAGGATAACGCATTGTTCAGATTAGGCACTAACACAAGAACTTTGTCGCCTGGATTGAATGTTCGTTTACAAGAACTTTTATCATACAGTCCTTTCATTCTCACTTGGGCCTTTCTTAAGTTCTTGTGAGCCATTTCGCACACGGCTTTCAGTCGAACGTGAAAATCATCAAAGTTTTCCACTGGATGATCACTGGTACCTGTCCAACGTTCGTGGATCAGCTTCAGGGGGCCACGGACAGAATGTCCAAACACAAGTTGAAAAGGCGAGTAGCCTAAAGAGTCCTGGACACAGTCCCTCGCGGCGAAAATAATCCAAGGAACAGACTCATCCCATTGGGTGTTACTGTTAGCGAACGTTCTTAGCATGGTTTTGAGGGTTTGGTGGAACCTCTCAAGTACGCCTTGAGACTGAGGGTGGTAGGCTGAGCTGGTGATGTGGGTAACGCCTAGCTTGTCTAGTGCTTCCTGAAAATGGTGACTGGCGAAGTTGCTGCCTTGATCTGTTTGAA